GTTGGTGGTGGTGGGAGTTTATGATAAATATATGTCTTTAAATATGTTTATGATTGTTGGTATTCGAATGACGGAACCGGAAACGCATATAATGGCGAAACGCACCACAATCTCATATTGAAAGGCATTGAATAAAGCTATTGTCCACGAAAACTTTTGACAATTGACAAAAAAAACTCAATTGCTGCGACAAGTTATTATGACCAGTTTTGTTTCCTTATATAGACCAAAACCAAAAGCTTTTACTATTATAGATCTATAAATAGTTGTCGGATGTATTGTTTCCCGATAAGGGTTACTGGGCTAGTCTATCTGCTATCTGCACTATGCTTAAAAGCGATTTCATGTGACGGGTTCCGATACTGAAAAAATCCTAGTACTGGTATCGGTATGTTTTCTGATGATCTCTATTGTCAGATGATACCTTATTTTCGCACACGCTGTCTTACATCAAAAAATACATTCCTGTCCATTCCCAGACAAGATTATTTAGAACTATGGCGGGAAATCGACAACACAAGCTTTGCATGGTGCCAGGTACGGAAAAGACATTCGAAACGGAATAATTATGATATGGGCGATATACTGTAACACTATTTATATAATAGGTCCAATTGCGTTTCATAAGGATGTTCTCACGGCCTTCACATTCTCATGTCTCACCTGATTTTATTCCTGTGTTTGGAGAATGCTGTGGTTACTGAGAAAGGTCACCCATTTATTGTGGCACACTTGAATGGGCTATGGTAGCTTCAAATCTGGTTGAGCAAGGTGACGCGTTGATACTGAATTCCAGATATTTTGGTGATTCATTCACAGCTTGGTGAGTATTATAAATAGACTAAAAAAAGTTTAAAACTGCTTTTTGAACGCGTTATTCGATTATATATAGTCTTAAAATATACGGTGCGAAAGCGACCCAAGTTCATGCTGAAAGTGGAGATGGTCCTACAATTAAAAGCATGCACAAAGCACTTTCCCAAAATACGTTCAAGGTTGTCAATATTACACATGTCGATACGTCCACGGGAGTACTTTCAGACATCAGCGTCTTGGCAATTCTCTCCTCAACGCGCTCATCGCCCATCGATTTCAATGTTAGTTTTTCGAATTCATGATTAAGTATAAATATATTGTCTACACCAACGGCAAAGACTAAAAACGGGATCACTTCCGCGATAATTAGTGTCACTTTGATCCCCAGGAATGAGAATATTCCGACCGAAGACTGATGTTAAGACAATAAAGATACCGCATATTCCGGGAGTGAATTTGGAGTCAATTAGTAAGCGGGGGAAGGCAGACAGTTTACCAAGTGCAATCGAGGCATATAAAAACATCTCAAGATAAGATATTGCTATAATAAGGATATCCGTATTTGTTGATTTGTTGAGCTCCTTCTCAAGCGAATTCTAGTCAAGTGTTAGTCAGACGAGAAGTCATATTTGCTAGTAACAAGTCTGTCTATATATCGCCTATCATTTACCTCTGTCGAGTAACTAATCCGTAAATTTGTAGTATCGATTTCTTCAACCTCACAATTAATTAATATGATCGCAGTGGGCTTCCCATTCTTCGGCTTTTTGAACTTCATCATTGTTTATATAATTATTTAATACAAATGCATCACAGTAGCTTTAGCCTTTGAATATTTTCTTTTTTAACCCGCCAAGCTTAATGGCTGTTGGCGCATGAGTCCAAATCTGCATCCCATGTCTCTGGATCAACGTCTGACTGCCAGTATCCTGCGACAGACTGGACGATACATGCATCCCCGTTTGGATAGGATAAAAGCATAAATCTTGAAGCGTATAATAATTGGACTTGATTTAAGATGTCTGATAATTTCTTCTATTTGAAACAGAGATTTCAGATTCTTGTAGCTGACTACTGGGTTTGAAGACACTTTGTTGCTAATGAAAAGCTGCTGAATACGGTAGAACGGGTTGGTTGGATCGTCGAGTCTGAATTGGGCAGTTTTACTGGCAGCCAAATTAGTCACTGATTGGACATTCTAATTCATTTAGCAAAAAGTCAAATATTTGTTGTGTGGGACAAACTAAAACGTCGTTCAGTGGTGATAAGATGCAAGCGACTCGGTGCTTGCTGAACGTGACAAAGAAAGTAAGTATTCTACGTAGTAGTCCTATATACTTTTTGCACGGTGAAAGAATGTGACATTCTTCGTCTATTTACGCTAATAAATTATCCAACTAGACTACGGGGATTTTTGGTCTTCCTGTTCACCCCAATCCCCGGCCTCACTTAATCAAAACCTACAATGACACTCTTGCTGCTTTGTCTCGCTTACCAACCGTAGCTGTCTACCGACAAGCCACAGAGGCTTTGACAAAGCACAGACTCTCTGTAGTAGAATCCACTGAGAATATTTCCGAAATTGAGAAAAAAATAGATGCCGGTCAGATCGAGCAGATTATCACGCAAGCCGAAGATGAACTGCGATTAGTGGCAAAAGTGGAAGAATGGAAACCGTAAGTTGAGAGGAAATATGTGATGGGCACAGTCGATTGCTTTGTACTAATAAGTTGTTATGCCTTCACAGGTGGGAACCACTTCAAGAGCCTCCACCCAAGGGTCAATGGGATTACAGCATGTTTAAAGGATAAAGTGAATATTATATATATATATGTATATATAATTTTATTGTCACAGAGTTTAAATATTATACTGGTCTGTGGGCAGAAAAATACAAGTAAACTAATGTTGAGTTGTCTGATATCATTTTCAGGAGCAATATTGAATACACCCAGGTTACTA